TAGTAGTGGTAGTAGTAGTACAAGTAATACGAGCAGTGCCAGTAGCAGCAGCAGTAACGGTAGCGGTAGCAGTAGCAGTAGCCGTAGCAGTAGTAGTAGTAGTAGTAGTAGTAGTAGTAGTAGTCGTAGTCGTAGTCGTAGTAGTCGTCGTAGTAGTAGTAGTAGTAGTAGTGGTGGTAGTAGTACAAGTAATACGAGCAGTAGCAGTAGCAGTAGCAGTAACGGTAACGGTAGCAGTAGCAGTAGCAGTAGTAGTAGTAGTAGTAGTAGTAGTAGTAGTAGTAGTAGTCGTAGTACTAATAGTCGTAGTAGTTCGTAGTAGTAGCAGTAGTAGTAGTAGCAGTTGCAGTTGCAGTAGCAGTAGCAGTAGGAGTAGTAGTAGTAGTAGTAGTAGTAGTAGTAGTAGTAATAGTAGTAGTAGTAGTAGTAGTAGTAGTAGTACTCGTAGTCGTAGTACTCGTAGTAGTCGTGCTTGTAGTCGTACTAGTATCAGTTCTACTATTATTAGCAGGGGTAGTAGCACTGGTAGCGGGTAGTAGGTAATAGTTTTGTCGTTTAGTAGCTAGTAGTCAGTAGTAGTAGTCGTTGTCGTAGTCGTCATCGTAAACGTAGTCGTCGTGGTAGTCGCAGCCGTAGTGGTACTCGTGGTCGTCGTAGTTTTCGTAGTATTCGTAGTAGAAGAAGAAGAAGTAGTAGTAGTAGTGGGTAGGTAGGTAGGTAGGTAGGTAGGTAGGTAGGTAGGTAGGTAGGTAGGTAGGTAGGTAGGTAGGTAGGTAGTTAGTTAGTTAGTTAGTTAGTTAGTTAGTTACTAAGAAGAAGAAGTAGTAGTAGTGGTAGATAGTTGTTGTGGTTGCCTTCTCGGCCCTATCTTGAAAGGCCCTCTTTGAGTAAGAGCCCTGCCCAATTCTGTGGCATCGCTAGCCTAAACAAAGACATGCACAAAGGCTCGTCGCTCGGCCTGGACAGGCGCCCAGCGAGTGGCTTAGCGCGGCTTCTTTGCCTCGGGACGTGTGCGAGTTACTGGAAATTCGAGGCTCGATTGGGGTTCTTCATGCGCATAGAACCGAAAATACAAGGACCCTTGGTATACTGTGTACCTACTCTGTCATAAACGCCTCTGGGCCCTTGATGTAGACCTGAAGTAGCTCGGTAGCAGGATCTTCGTTATGAACAATCTCCATGGGTTCAAGGCTAAAGCTCAATTATCTTCAACCATAGCCCCCAAGCCCTTAACCGGATGTGCCAGAGCTTTAAGAAGCAACCATGTACAAACCCTACATTGTGTTCAGGGCCTCGCGCCGGCTTGGAGGGGATGGGACAGCTATTGCAGGGAGCTTCAGAAGAGCGATCGTGGTCTGAGGTTGCGATTCTTAGGATTGGGGAGTTGGCTTCCTGCAGCACATTTTGAAGGACCGGCTTGCCGTCGTCCAAGTCCCGTACACGGGTCTACGAATTCCATCGCACATTGAAGCTGGACTTCCCACCACCCCCTCGTGGCTCACAGCCTCGTGGAGGCTCGTCAAGCCATTGCATTGAAAAGCTCCAAAGCCATCTGCCACTGCCTCCCCCGGTCACAAGCATTCATGGTGGCATTATAGCTGCTGACATTTGAAGCAATGCTAGCCGCGGGCATGGCATGGAAGAGGTGCAATGCCAGCTGCCACTCTCCGCCCATCTCACAGGCGGTGATGGTGGCATTGAAGCTGATCGCATCCGGTGTCAGCCTAGCTTGTGGCATGGAGTCGAAGAGCTGCAGAGCGATCTGCCATTCCATGCCTTTCTCGCAGGAGCTCACAGCAGCATTGTAGCTGATGACATTCGGCGACAGCTTCGCTTTAGGTAGACTGCGGAACAGCCACAAGGCCAGTTGGCATTGCCCTCCTTTCTCACATGCGCTGATGGCCGCATTGTAGTTGATGAGATCTGGTTGAAGCTCGGCCTCGGGCATGGAGTGGAAGACATGCATGGCCAGCTCCCACTTCCCGGCTTTCTCACAGGAGCTGATGACCGCACTGTAGCTGATCACGTTCGGTGTCACTTGAACTCTGGGCATCGAGTCGAAGAGAAGCAAAGCCTGCTGCCACTCCGCACCCTTCTCGCAAGAGCTGAGTGCGGAGCTGTAGCTGATGACGTTTGGAGCCACCTTGGCTTCAGGCATCGAAGCGAAAAGTAGCAGCGCCAACTGCCAGTGTGCGCCTTTCTCTGAAGCGCTGATGGCTGCACTGTAGCTGATGACATCAGGACTAAGTTGAGCTTGGAGCATCGACCCGAAGGTCTGCAGGGCCAGCTGCCACTGCCGGCCCTTCTCGAAGGCACCAGCGGCAGCGCTGTAGCTGACGACATCGGGCGATAGCCGAGCTGTCGGCATCAATCCGAAGAGCTGCAAAGCCAGCTGCCACCGCTGACCCTTGTGACAGGAGCTGATGATGGCATTGTAGCTGATGACGTTGGGCGCAAGTCGCAGCTCGGGCATAGAGCTAAACAGATGCAGGGCAATCTTCCACTGGCCGCCCTTCTCGCAAGAGCTGATGGCAGCGTTGCCTTTGTTACTTGCAGCAACGCAGAAAACTTGTGGGCTCCTGTTCGTCTTGTTTAAAGCACGAAAGCTTGGTTGTACTAGACAGCCCAAGTTGCAGCAGACGACGCTGGGATCCAGCTTCTCCGAAAATGCCCCGAAGAGATGCAAGGCCAGCCGCCACTCCTTGGCCCGAGCAGCCATGCCGATGCCCAAGGCGAAGCCTTGAAGCCCAAGGTTTGCATCGGAAAGCGTCTTTGCCAGTTCACAGCCCAAGTCGTCTCTTCTCATCTTCTTCAACTCCCGGAGGATGTCGAGGGCAGCCTGCGGAGATGAATGCCACTCGGGCTTTGCCAAATGCAGGGCACCAGAAGTTGAATGAAGCGCTTGCTGCAGTCTTTCCAGAAGCTGTGGCGAGGTGCTCGGCGCGCCCGGCGGCATCCAGGAGGCATGAAATGCACGGATGCGCATGCCTGCGACCAAGGCACAAAATTTTGCCCTGCAGTCTCAAACGCTGCAGGAACCAGCTGTCAAGAACATGGTAGCAGGTAGCGGCCGTAGCCTCTAAACCTGTTCCGAACACGATCCGAAAGCCTTCAAACCCTAAACCCTATATATATATATATATATATATATATATATATATTAATAATAATAATAATAATAATAATAACAACAAAAACCTTGGGGCACCCGGCAGGAGCTCCTCGAGGGACAAAGTCCCAGGCTTCCGGGCCGGTGCCTTCGCAGTTGTTATTTTGCGGTGCGAACACTACCCGGTCACTACCCCCCCATTAGGGTTTAGGGTTTAGGGTTTAGGGTTTACTACCCCCCATTAGTATGATGCCTTTTTTGTGTCCCTGCTCATCTTGCCTGTTCTTGGTGTTCTCGTTATTTGTTCCTTGCTCTCTGATCATGATGCCCGCCTTCAGTTTTCATGGTGCCTACGATGAGGCTTCAATGGCTTGTACCATGGTTCCGAAACACATTGATCTCCAGATCTGTCTGGAGGTACAACCTAGTACTTTTGCTAAGTAATGAAGCTCCTGGACGCTTTTCTGGGACGCATTTGAAAATGCAGCTCGTTGTCCCGGCCGCCATTTCGAAAGAAGCTGCGAAGCGGCGAGATCACGCCCCGAAGAAGCTGCGAGCAGTGGCGTGTTTTGCAAAATGTCCTGTCACGTCTTGTCGCTTGGGGGTGCCGCATTGAGTTGCGTCATTACGGCGGCACGAGTGCATGCCATGCCGCAGGGTCACCGTCGCAGCAAGAAGCAGCTTTCTCGACCAAGGTGACGCTTCGTGGATGGCGCTTGGAAGATCAGGCGTCATGTCAATGTCGTCATCTCGCAGCTTCTCAATTCTTCGCAGCCACATGCCTGATCTGTACAAAGATAGAGCACCCTTTTCAAGAGAAATGGGCCAGTTCGGGCACGAGGGATCTCCCAAACAGGTTTGGGGGTGTCGTGTTTGTGGCTATTCATGGTTTGGGGCTTAGGGTTTTGAGGTTTCGCGATCAGTGCTTAGGAGGTTAGGTTTCGGGATGGCTCGGGTGAGGAGGCTGAGGACGTATGATCAGGGGCTTCCTTGACGACTTCTCGATTCAGCATCCTGAGATTTAGATGCCAAGTTCAGTGTCCCTAAACCCTGGACCCTGAAGGCCACAAAACCGTAAGCCTGGACTTTTCTGCCGGACCCTGCGATCCAAAGACCCTAGAACCCACCCCATACCCACAGACTCAAACCCGAGAGACCTTGAGATTCCCGAAAACCCGAAGACGCGATTCGCCTCGTCCTGGTTCGGCGCAGGCTCGCGGGCCTCCGAGGGGCAGGTTTGGGGTCCAGGTTTTGGCACTGCAAACCCTGAAGAACCCCGAAGCCCTGAAAGTGAGTGCCGAGGCCAGGAATGAAGCTTTATGGGATGCTTCGGCTGGCCAATTTGCAGTCGCTATTCAAGGGTTCTTGTGATAAGGATTCGGCAATGTAGGGCGTGTCCGGGTCCCTGACTAGCTGAAACTCCTTTATGCCAGTTGTGGAAACAAGCCCCTGAGTGCGGTATGAGACGCCGTTCTGCAGGTAGATGTCTGAAAGCAACAGTTGAAAAAAAGCCGTGGCATTGCTGGTCGCGGCCAGGGGATGCTGGAAAGACTGAACTGCAAGCAGTACACCGAGAAACAGAGCGTACCCGGCCTCTGGATTCTTCGCAGGGCGCTCCTGAGGATCCGAGGGCTTGTCTCGATTCGGCTCTCGTGGCGTCCCTGTTATAGTTACGATGGGACCGAGACTTGGTACCTGAAGCCGATTTGAGCTGAGTATTAGGTTCGGGACACAACCCGTCTTCCGACCCAACGCTAGCTGTGCTCCACGTTTCGAGGCTTTCAGGCAGAACTCGAATCGAAGCGCTGCAAATGAACACTCAGATGCGAAGCCGGTCGCACGAGCCAGAACCGCACCAAGGGCCTTCCAAATCTAGAGCATACCCTTGTAAAGTCTCAGTCGCTGTGCTGTTCCTTTCTTTGTCTCGCTCTTTGTCTATGGATACTCTTTTCGCTTTCTCTCAGTCTCCCTCCCTCTAGATGAACATAAATTCGTACCTGGACATGTACATACACATGCTTACAGAAACAGACGCACACAAACATACTTACAAGCAAAAACACAGACCTCCGTCCATACATACGTGCATACGTACATGCAGGCATGCATGCATACATACAGACATTAACCCTGAGATTTTGGCGTCGGGTGGCATCGCCGCAGATCTTGACGTCTCGTGCTGGAATACCACATGCATTTACCATATACTTTGCGTACAATAATTAGAGACCACCATCGGTGGCAGAAACATGCAGACAAGAACCCAATACTGCAAACTGCACACTTCAGCAGAAGCACAGAATTAGGGCAACGGTAACATTGAAAATCCAACGAACCCCTGCAAAGCCCGCCGACACGCCTGCAGGGGTGCGGGAGCCTGCGCAAGCGGGGGTCCGGGTTTTCAACACAATCATGAGGAGTTAGCGAGAAACATCCGGAGCTTCTCTTCTCGTACCCTGTGCGGTCCGGTGAGTTTCCACACGACTGGTAGATGTCAGGGTGCGATACTGTCTTCGGGGGTCCATTGCCTAGGTGGAAGCGCAAGGCAGTTAGAAACTCATCACAACTGCAGTTGTTCCCCGCCCCGGGTAGAACTGCCTCGGTTATATTCGCGGCAAAAGTAGGTTGGGAAATATGCTTTACACACACGATACACAATCTTCAACGACCCCAACATGACCCCAACATGCATTGCTTGCGAACGCCCTGGCATTCCTCAACGTGTAAAATCCGACATTGTCTGCCTGCAAGAACCCTTCCAAAGCTCGAGCGACCTGCCTTCCCACGGATGATAAATTGTGATTGTGATGACGATTGCAATTGCGATGGTGACGGTGATGACGATGATTATGTTGGTGATGACGACGATAGCAGCCATCGTCGCTCACATCATTGGAAGTACTGCTCCGTGTGCCACTACCACTGAGTTTGCTGCCGCAGTTGACATCGCCCTGGAGTCATCACCGACAGTGTTAGCACCATTGCTCTTGCGATTGTTAACCCAAGCTTTAATCGACGAGGATGTCCTACTTCTGGAGATGAGCACCACAGCCCTTAAGGAATCAGCACGTAACTGGCACGCGTGATTCGGCCCGCCTCCTCATCCACAGGCCTGCAGTGTGACAAGCCGGCTGTGGAGTTTCTCCCTCGTGATTGTCAATTGAGCGACATGCCCGAAACCCTAGAGATTGATGAAGGCGTTTTTCGAGCATTGGCAGTGGGATCATGCGGCGAGGCAGTGTTTGTCAGAAGGCCTTACCAAATGCCGTGATACGTGCAAAAAGAGAGTTGCTGCACGCAGAGAGACATGAAATCTCGTTGAAAGCTGTGACGGAACATACCACTCAGAAGGATCGAGGAATACACGCATTGATATTATTGAGGTCCGAGCACGGGTGCTGCGGTGAACAATGGTGGACTTTCACTGAGCCACATATGTTGCGCTCTGCAGGCGAGGGCTTGGGCTCATGGCTGCAGGGTCTGCCTAGGAACATACTTAGGTTCAAAGCAAGAGTGATGCCTGGATTTTGGGCTCTTCTATGTCTTCTGTTGCTTGGGTTGCATCCAGGACAGGAAAGGTCTAATGTTGAATGGGGCAGTGCGCTGCAGAGAACTTGTACACTCACATCTTGAGTAGCCAAGAGGCGGGGTTCGCGTCATGCTGAGTGGCAAAGCCTGCAAAGCGAGGAACCCCGCTGCAGAACCCCTCCAAGCTGTTGTCGGCTTGTTCTCTAGGAACAACTTTCGGAGCATTGGCCAAGGTTGTACTGGGTTCGGCAGAAGCCTTAGCATGTTGGGTTCGACTACTTTCCACAATGAAACCCACCCATCCAGGAAACCGCCAGATGTCCAGTTGGGGTGGATCTCTGTGCCAGGGTTATAGCTGTAAGAGTGGCGTGATGCAAAGAAAAATCCCGATGCCAAGTCACCCGTCTTAGCAATTATGTCAGGGTCAGGGTGCCACGAAGTGCAAAAGCGTAAATCATCAACTTGCTCGGCATTCATGGGCCGCGGGGTTCATGGGTAAGGCTCCCGCCCCTCTGGTGTTCGGGCCCCGCCCCCTGGTATGTTGGATGAACATCCCACAAGCGCTTTCAGCCCTAATGCACTACTCATTTCGAGTCTCTCCTCTGCGTCAATCGATGCCTCTGCATAAAGCAGACGGTGCGCCAGCAGCTCGGACAAAGACGGCCGGCGCCTGAAGCCAGGAAGCGCGACCGAAAGTATTTGGGCGCCGAACGTTAACGTTAGGGTGTCATCCTTTCCACAATCATTTCCCTCCTAGGCATGTTAGAAGTGGCTTGTGCAAGCCCAAGGAAACCCTCAACCTGACCTCAGGGCAAAATAAATGATGTCGGGGTCTCACGACGTCCACAGCTTCTGGAGGCTGAGTCACGACGATCCTTGGCTGAACTTTGAGCCCCTGTTGCAGTCGAGAGTCAAAGATATGGATCTGGCGAAAGGATCTGACTTTCATCTGGATAGGCTTTCTAGACGCTCCCCCTTCAAACCACCTATGAGCACGAGGAACGGCATGCTTTTGCCGTCAGGGCTGTGGGAACCTCTTTCTTCAATCTTTGTCTTGCCTCTGGGGTGTTTTCACACATCGGATTCTCATTCTCCAATCCAGTGTCGATCCTTGCTTTACTCGGTCAAGCCCGGCTGCCGTTGAAAGTAGAGACTGGTAAGGAACCACAGTCCTGAAGCCACAACCCGAAAGACGTTCGCCCCTAGTGAAATGCTAAATCCTTTATCCCCGAACCCTGCACCCTCAACCACGAAGAACCACTTCAAACAAGTGCACACCCTTTCAGCGCCTGGGGTCTCGCTGCAGGCAGCCGCCCAGAACCTCGAGCAAAGCCTCCAGGGTCTGAGGCGCAACTAAGAGTTTAGGCTGTGGGTGTTTACACTGTTTTTGGGAGGCTTTACAGGCTAAGGGCATGCATAGGTTTTAGGTTCTGGGCTTCTTAGATTTATATCGTGATGTTAGGTTGCAGAAGGTTCTCGCGTGGCTGATGCCTGAAACGCCATGGGCGGAAAATAAATCTACAGCCTCAAGTGTTGAAGATCGGCTTTGGTTAATAGTGATGGCCTGATGGCAAACATAAAGCAAAAACGAAGGCTGACAAATAAACACACTTGGTGAGGACAAGCGCCAAGGAGGAGTGGTGAAATCAGCGCAGCAGGGACATGGTTCATCACAAGATAGCGTCATAAAATTATAAAGCTATATGTTATGTCTGCAGCTGTCTCAACAATCGTAATATGTTGTGGGGATCGTCATGCCACCAGTCTATATGGAGTCTCTAAATCTTGTGCAGCTCCTGTGAATTCATATGATTATCTTCTATTGCTAGCATGGCACAATATCGACTTCAAATCCCCCACGGTGCTGGGGATCAAGATCATCCCTCCAGGTGGTTCATCTGCCACCCTCATCACAACCTCATTTGCAACCTGTCCAATCCGAAGAGCTGGTCGGCTGGGCATTTTCCAACTCTCGCGTGTCTGTCGCCTCTGCTGCAATTGCCGGCCTTATCTTCTGTGAGACTGGCACTTTGCAACAGGTCTGACATGTGAAAGACATAGCTGTGGGATGCTGTGGGCCAAAACCGGGTGAACCACTTGTGATTTTGCTCAGCACAAACAGGTTCCGTGGAGATGCGAACCATCACACAGGTTTCAGGCATGTTTGATGGTTTGATGGTTTGACCCGTCAAAGATCTGTCCGTTGGCCACTGTTCATTCTATTGCCTTCCAGCCAAAAATGCGTTCTCAGCCGGCTGCTCCAGCCCCTTCAGAGTGATCGGGATCAGTATCTCTTTCCAGTCTAAATAGAACAAAAGGACCACTGCGCATCATCATATCAGCAGCCTCATCAACATCTCACCCATCGGTGCAACAATCGCCCTACAGGAACATCATGAAACATCCACCATTTCAAATGCCAGCTGGTGCACTGCGGACGCTACCCACTGGATAGCAGTGGTGGATGGTCAATAGCAACAGCCAGCTTTCATTGTCGACACTTTCTAAGTGAACAAACCCCTTCTATTGTTGGTGCTATTCATAGTATGAACAAATCGGGAAATGTATGAATGATGTTATGTAGAGTATGTGTAATCTTGATGCTGGTGTCGTTGTCCTTTGTTCGACCTATAGTTGTACTGCAGCAGTATACGGGGCCTTTTACTATGCCCAGGGGGTCTAGCTTCAAAATGGCGAGAAGGCAGCACTGTTGCCAAACAACGCCATGGTACTCACGGAAAATTTTGGGTTATCGAACTTGTGACTTGCGTAAGTATCACATTTGTATACTGTACTGGCACTGTGCTAGATTCCTGCTTCACGATTCTTGGCTGTTTTCGCACATGTCGATATGGTCTGCATATGATATGTACATGTCACATATGTGTCTCCAAGCATTAAGCTCAGGGACTGAACGGACAACTGGCGGGTTGACAATGATTGCCATTGCACTGGGGCAGATCTATAGAACATCAATGAACATCATGTACCTAGACGAAGGTCTTACTATGTCTTGGTTCATGGGTTCATTCAAGCTGACACCCAAAGGTCTTCGCTTGATCGCACTGCTCCCTGATCACTTGAAGACTTTGGTGGTTGGAGTCCTGTCTGCTACGGCAGTGCTATACTCACTCGTCGGTTTGGCACGATGCGCCGTGACATCTTTGAACTCACCCAGTAGATCTCCATCGCCAAGACCTCTCCAGGAGACGCTGGAGACGCTAGGCAGGCGCTTCTAGTGGCCTGGCACTCTAAGTTGGGGCCTATTGCATCCAATCGTGGTCAACAAAGTTAGCATAAACCAAGGAACCTCCTTTGACCTCGAGAAACCAACCAAAACCACCGCACATGGTGTGTGCTTCCCAGAAATCACGGCTTCTATCGCCTCTGCACGAACCATTGTGGGGCGAAGGTTTTCTTCATGTCGTGTTGATGACATCCTAAGCATTCTCACTCATATGGAACCGAGAGGTCCACACTCACAACTTTCAAAGCAGCACGCAATTGAGCGGTCATGCAAATTCCAAGGTGTACTCCCCTTGTCAAGTAATGATAGAGTTGGTTAAGAATACTGAGAGGTAATGAAGCAACTTGGCTTCTTTGTGGTGCGACTTTGCGTGCATGGTTCTGACATCCTCCAGCTCTTCTTGTTGGCTTTCCACCGGAACCTCTGATCCCAAAGCTGCAGCTAGGACTTCCATGATGAAACAGGTCGATCCGCCGGGGCGCATCCCACTGAACAAGAATACTCTGGTGGTCCCTCATCGGCACATCACTGTCGGCCATTACTGAACATCAGCCCGAGCCATCAACCCACCATCTTGAATCCCTATGATTTAACCCCTGCTG